CACCACGTCCTTTAAAGGACTGCAAAAAAAAAAAAAAAAAAAAAAAAAAATTTTGTTGGAAAAAAAATGAAAAAAAAAAAAAAAAATAAAAAAAAAAAAAAAAGGAAGGGGGGTGGGGGGGGGGGGGGGGGGGGGGGGGGGGGGGGGGGGGGGGGGGGGGGGGGGGGAGGGAAAAAAAGGGGGGGGGGGGGGGGGGGGGAGAAGGAAGGGGGATGGTGAGCGGGAGGGAGGGGAGAATGTTTGAAAGAAGAGCGGGTGAGTTGATAGATCGGGAAAGTTGACGGCTGAAAGCGGGGAGGGGAGGGGAGAACATCTCTGGGGGAGATGCGGGGGCTGACGTGGTGTGGGCTGAGCGGCGAGCGCCGAAGTGTGGACAGGAAGTAGGAAGTGGGACTTGGAAAAGAACCGAGTCAGGAAGTAAAGGAAAGGGGAGCGGCTTCACGGGAGAGTGGGATACATCTGCGCCACGTGCAGGGGGCGAAAAGCGAGTAAGGCGAGAAAGGGAAAAAAAAGAAGGGAGGTTTGGTCCTTCGGCCGTCAAAAGTGGAACGATACAGAGAAGATTAGCTTGGATGGCCCCTGGGCAAGGATCACACGCATAAATCGAGGAATGGTCCAAAATACAAAGGAGGGAAAAAATTTGAAAGACAAAAGGGAGGGTTGGGAGGGTTGTACCATAGCGGGGATGGGGCGAAGTCGGAGTTTGGGCGAAACATGTGGTATACAGTACAGGGAAAGGAGAGGGTTGGAGGAGAGAAGATGGGATATTTTGGGGAAGGGTGTCGGGGGTGGTGAGCGACCCATCTAGTGAGAGCAACAATAGAGGGAGTGTGCAAGTAAATAGGGACAGAGAGGGGAGGGGGTACGCGGGATCATGAACAGTGGGGAAGTTAGCGGGGTAAGCCGGGCAGGCGGGAAGAGCTGGAGCAGTCATAGGTCAGGCACTGAGGAGAGGGCGGGTTGGAGTAGGGACGTGTGAGGGGAGAGAAGGGCACCGGGTGGTAATGTACTGTACTTTCCTCGGAATGGGATAATAGTCTACAACAAGGCGAGGGGAGGAGGAGGGGCTGGTTTTCCTAAAGCGGGGAGAGAAGACTCGGAGGACGAAAGGGAACAGAGGAGAGCGATTGTAGGGGATAATGGAGGGGCCCACACAACCTACGATGAGGCTGACAGTATGACCAGAGGGAGCTCTCAACAGGGTAGCGCAGAGAAAAAGGACAAGAGTGCGAAAAAGAGCAAGTGTCGAGCAACTGCGAGGACATTAACACGAGGCACCAGTATCAGAAAAAGAGGCAGAAGAGCAACAGCGAGGACATAATCACTGTAGTTTGCAACGACTCCGCAGAAACATTTACTGAGAGGGAGAACAAGGAAACACATCGGGGGGAGCGGGAACTACCTGAACTGGGAAACCGAGTGCAACGGAGAGGAACACGGTGACTAACGGCGGCTGTGGTATTCTAACGGCGCTTCAGTTCTCAGAGAACGAAGGACTTCTACGATAAGGAAAATAAACTTTTAAGGTCATTCACGAGAAACGAGGGCGCCTTGAGAGCTCGAAGTATGAGAACACAGTTGCGGAACGCTCATGAGACAAGAGCTACGCTTGTATTGAGTTGGTAGGATCCGGGTAGATATTGTGAACAGTGATGTTGGGGGGGGGGAGGCGGGGGAGCTGCTTCCCAAGGACGCCATAGCCGACGCCGAAAAGACGTAGTCTATGGCGTGAGGCATCGCCGTCGTCCCCTTACTTATTGAGGAGAGTATAGGAATGGAAGATTGGCATACGGAAAGAGCGTGCATCAGCACAGGCACTCGGAGGGCCCGCTGAAATTGCGCGTCCAGCCGGTGCTCCTGCCCCTTCTCTCCCACTTCAACTGTAATTAGGCCTCGCTCCACAACACGGAGGGCATACTCACACGGGGATGGACTCCCACTTCTCATCCCAAAATTTGAGGTTTTTTTGGGGTCACATCGGAGAGGCCCCCTACCCAAATGCCTCAAATGGTGACCCGGTCAGCAGCCTGCCGCGGGCCACCTCCAGAGGTGGTCTCAAATGACCTCTCGGTTTTTTTCTTTCAATTTTACCTTATTGCAAAAAATCGTCGGCGAAGCAAACAGCCCGCCAAACAAAGAGATAGAGGAGTAATAGCAAGATGTCTAGTTCGAAGCTTGGTGGGAGATGGGGTGTACGGGGGGTATTTTCTCCAAAACCGTGTTTCAACTTCGAACGCCTTAGATTTTTGATAGGTGGGCGACCCTGATTCGTTCTGTTGCCGTCGTTTGGTATGTTGCCGGGAGTGACGTGAGAAATCCCTTGACACCCGTGGTCGCAGTGTGTGGGAGTTAAACTTTCTATGCCCTGAATAGGTTTGTGTTTGATGTTACGGATAGATGTGTTGCGTTCTTTAGTTAGCGTTTGCGGATGCGTTGTGTTCTTTATTTAGTGTTTGTAGGGAGTATTAGGGTTGGGTTTTTAGATGAGAGTAGTGGGTTGGGTTTGTAGATGAGAGTAGCATGGTTTTGTGGTAGGGCT